CTTTAGAAAAGGTAGAGAAGATTGAAATCAGGGACAATACCTGGTCGGTCCAAAGCATTAACACCTGGACTATGAAAGACCAGTGGAATACTATAAACAAAGCTACATGGAGACTAAAAGATTACTTACTCCATGATAAACCAAATCTAGATTCTCTTAGATCCCAGATTGTACGCTATTTTGAAATTAACATGCCCAACAAAACCTCATACCCTAACAATTGGTGTTCCTTTAAAGCTAGCATGAGAGGTAACCTAATAAGCTTAGAAGCGCACTCCAATAGGAACAAAAGTCTTTATAATCATTTAGCTGAAAAAGTGAAAAAGACGAATCCCTCTAGAGATATTTCAGAAGCCATTAAGATGATCAAAGATCAAATTAATCAAATTAATATAGAAAAGAATGCTAAAATTGTGAGAAAACATAGGTTGAAAGAATATAGTGCAGGGAATAGAGCAGACAAACTTCTAATCAAGAAGCTTAGAGACAAAAAGGGTCTCAAGCAGAATAACAACAATAAAGATGAATAACCAGACCCAAATCTCACACGTCTATTGGGAAATGTTTTAATACATATTATAGCGACTTATATTTCCTTTCAACAAAAGAAAAAGACATAGACAAATACCTGGAGTCTATTGACCTCCCGACAATATCAGACTCTCAAAGAACACTCCTTAATGCTCGGACAATGACCCAAGAGGTGGAGGAAGTTATTAAAAAATTGGAGAATAACAAAACTCTGGGCCCTGATGGATTTTCAAATATATTTTATAAAGCTTTTTGTGATCTTCTCAAAAAACAGTTAGCAGATCTATTTAACAACATAGCAGAAACCGGACAATTCCCTAAAGAAATGTTAAGAGCAAATATAACAACAATATGGAAGCAGAGCAGAATAAAGATCCAAGTCAGGTGGAAAGCTATAGACCTATTTCCTTCATAAATACTGATGTTAAGATCTTTGCTGCAATAATAGCAAATAGGATGAAAACCATACTACCTGATATAATAGACCCTGATAAAATAGGTTTTGTACCAGGCAGAATCACATCTGATAACACCAGAAGTATTACTGACATCATAGACCTGGCTAATAGAACAAAACCCTCCCTCTCTAAAGTAACAGTGGACGTTGAGAAAGCGTTTGATAGAGTGGATTGGGTATTTATGAGCAAAACCCTGAAAAAAATTGGATTCCAGGGATGGATCCATCAAGCCATAATGACTCTATATACCGGTCCTTCAGTGAGGACAGTGAGCCCTGACATGCGTTGACTGGTTCAGTTTGCATAATGGAACAAGACAGGGTTGCCCGCTGTCCCTCTATCATTTACATAATTATTATGGAAATTTTGGCTAATAAAATAAGATCTAACCAACACATAAGAGGTATAATTATTAAACATAGAGAGTTGAAACTGAAGCTGTATGCTGATGACCTAATTTTCACCCTTACCGACCCTATTAAATCCATAAAAGCTTTTATGGACGTAGTAAAGGACTACAGCAAAATCTCTAATTATAAATTAAAGGAAAATAAAACAATCATATTAGATATTAATTTAGATACTGCCAGCAGGACCCAATTACAAGATTCCTATAACTTTAAATGGGCTAAAAAAAGTATCCCATACCTAGGAGTTTTTTTGACAAGTTATCCCTCAGAATTAATGCAGATTAATTTTTTGAGAAACTTTAGGTATATGTCCAAAGCTCTGAATAAATGGGGAAAAAAAATAGAAATTTCTTGGTGGGGCAGAATAAATTTAATAAATGCATACATCTTCCCTAAGTGGTCATATATGTTTCGAATGCTTCCCATAAGAACACCTAGACCATGCCCTCTAAAATGACCATTTCCATTATTAACCTCATATCTCCGTTTATCCTAGTCACTAGACACATACTTAACAGGAGCCAGTCCTGCTGGGGTATCCCTAGTGAAAAGTGTGTCTGTGAAAGCAACATTTTTTTTGCTGTTTCTCTATTTTTTCCTTTGCTATAATTAGGGAACTTAATAAGACTTTGCAACAACACATATTTTTCAGTTGCTTTAACAACACATCTCATTTTTGTTTCAATGTATTACAAACATAATTACTTGCCTGTTTAAGTTGACACCATTCTTGCATAGAATCATTAGTTTCAAAAAAGCACTTTAACAATAATGCAACTTTTTGACTTTCCTTTTTAAACCATTTGCTTTGCTTTGGGGGGGGGGGGTGGGACATAATTGTAATGACAATAAGCATACTCACATGCAGACACATGCTTTTGGTTGGCCTGCTTGCCAGCCTCCTGCCAATAGACTATGAGCCAGGTCAGCACCTGTAAAGACCCATATTTTATCCCCACTGGTTCGGCACTTTACATAGAACATGATACTTGCTCACTGGCAGTCATTTGCATGGACCAAAACCGCAACTAGACTTCAGGGGGACATAACCGCAAATGCCCTATGACTATTTTTGGCATGAAAACCTTGTGTTTCCCAGTCGGTCTCCCAGCGGCACTTAGCCGCGATTCTGTTTTGGGCATGCCACTATGCGTGCGGTCGGTCAAAATGTGACTTCCATGAAATTACTGAACCTCTGAACTGATCTGGGTGATTTTTGTATATGTTGGTCACCGGGATCAAGGCTATCAGGAAATGTAACATTTGTGGAGATCTTGTGTGTTTTGGGGTACTTTTGGGGTTCTATAAAATTATGTTTTTTTTCTGTTTGAGGACAATTGAGTTAAAGCAGTGTAGCAAAAGTAACCTCACCACTAGGTTTTGGAGGGGCCTTTATGCCCCAGGAATATGGCCCATGCGCTAAAACTTTGTTTTTAGACTGTGAAAAGGCTTGTTTGAGCCTTTTCCCTATTATGTTGGGTAAATCGGGTTTACCGAACAAACTGTTGAACAGCTGGACCACACGCAAGTGGAGTGTGCAGCCAATTTACCTCCCAGGCTGGTGGTTAACCGCAAGCTAATTGACAAATGGCTGGGTGGTCGCCGTTCATATAGTCATACACGTGGCAGAGGCCATCTTGTTTAGCCAAAAGCGGTCAGCAGTGTTTTGCCGTCGAGTTCATGGAACTCAAATCGGACGGCACAAACACCACTGAACTTAACCTTCTCCGGAACTTCAACGCTTCAACAGGAGTCGAACGGCATTCGACAATTCCAATGCCATGTTAACGTTGGCTATTTGCACAAACGGCCCCCATTCATGACTTCGAACTGTATTGGAACTATGTGAAATAGACCGGCCGTACAGCCTAATTCTCTGGAACTGTTTTGGGCATGAAAATGTGCATCGGTCAAATATGACTTTCAGGAATTTCCTGAACCCCTGCTCTGATCTGGGTGATTTTTGGATATGTTGTTCACCCAGATCAGGGGCTATCCGGGGATGTAGGATTTATGGGGATGTAGGATTTATGGGGTGTTTTCTGTGTTTTGTGAAAAATTAGTTTTTTCTGCTTGGGGATAATTGAGTTAATTAGAGTATCTTACTCCATTATCTCCCAAGCAGAAGGGAGGGTTTGTGTACATTATCTGGGAGTGTCTAACTGCACAATACTGTTGTGATTGGCTTGGTGACTTTGTGTCCAGTGCTCCACTTGTGGGGAAAACTGTATAAAAGACAATAAACTCTCAGATCTGCTTAGTTCCTGTTTTATCCTCAACATAGAGCCTCATCACATGTGTGGTGGAAAAGGCTGCATCTACACTCGGGGATTGCTATACCCTGTATATGCCCATGGGCTATAATCACTAAGCTCTTTTAAGAGCTTGTTCCTGCTTTGCTCTCTGAAGGAAGAGAGGTTCACCCAATGGAGCCTTGTCATAGGTCCAGGGTGGGTAGAGGACAGCGAGACCCCAACAAAGCTGTGGCAGTTTGTGGGATCTGCAGTGCTTATGGTGTTTGGTGTGGTGCTGATGGTCTTTGGTAAAGACTAGGAACATCGATTGACGGAGGATCTGTTACATGCAGTATCTGACTCAATTATCTCCCAAGCAGAGAGGAGGGATTGCATGTTTGCTATGGGAGTGTCATGTGTTTAAACCTTATTGTTATTGGTCTGTGACTTTATTTTGTAGCACCCCACAAGGTCCATATGGGCGTACCCTTTGCATGGGGATGGTCATAAAAGGCCATGCGTGGCACCATTAAAATTAGTTTCTGCCTACCCTCAACATAGATAAAAGGAATAATGGAAGTCCACTCAACCCTTCATCTAGGAATCCAGGGTGCTCCACTGGACAGGTCCCAGTACCAATATGGACCAAATATAAAATTGTAAATTGTAGGAAGTAATCCAGGCACTCCAACAAATTCCAAAAATAGGCAGTTTTATTGGAACCAAGAGTTACACAGCTCCAATAAAATTGCCTATTTTTGGAATTGTTGCTTTCAGCAGGTTACTTAGGACATTGTACCAAAAATAGGCAATTTTATTGGAACCAAGAGTTACACAGCTGTGTAACTCTTGGTTCCAATAAAATTGCCTATTTTTGGAATTCGTTGGAGTGCCTGGATTACTTCCTACAATTTACCCTCAACATAGAGTCTTATCTCACGTGTCGGGGGAGCTACTGTATCTGCTATATAACAATACTCCCTTGGGTTTTAATTATTAGCTCTTATAAGAGCTGTTCCTGCTAGACTCTTTGGAATAGGAGAGGTTCACCCACTGAAAGCTGTATCCTGGTTTTGGGTCCAGGGTGTGTGAAGGACGACAAGACCCCAGCCAAGCTATGGCAGCTAAGGGGCTACAGTGCTGATCGCACTAAGAGCATCAATTGGCGGAGGCACCTGGTTGAGGTGCCAGGCGATCCATCACAATCTCGCTGACACAAACACACAGACAGACAATCTCATTGATACACATACACTCATTTGACATAAAAACACAAGCTCACTGATACACACAAATAGGCTCACTGACACACACAAGCTCACTTCAGAAAAGATCACTGTGTATTTGATGCGGGGTCTGAATGTGGGGGCAGAAAAGCCATGCTTCCTGTGGTCACAAAGGACTACGATCTATCTTTTGAACCACTGGACCAATTTGTATGATTTTGACGTATGTTTGTATTTGGAGTATGCTGATTCTGAAAATGTAAGTTATGTGAATGTGATGCATATTTTTCAAGTTATGAATAATGTGGAAAAATTGTATTTCTCTGTTTGTGCTAAATTATATTACCCATTGTGTAAGGTAATTGAATCAAATGCAGAGGGGAGGAATTTGTGTGGGAGTGTCTGAGTGTATTGTATGTGTTTATTGGTTGTGTTCCAAAAACCTTGTGGGTGGTACTAATGTGTAAGAATGTGTATATAAGCACAATAAACCCACAGCTCTGTCTGTTCACTGCTTGACCCTCAACACGGAGCTTTGTCTCGTTCTTGGGGGGGATTAAAGGACCACTATAGTGCCAAGAAAACATACTTGTTTTCCTGGCACTATAGTGCCCTGAGGGTGCCCCCACCCTCAGGGACCCCCTCTTGCCCGGCTCTGGAAGGGGGAAAGGGGTAATAACTTACCTTTTTCCAGCGCTGGGCGGAGCTCTCCTCCTCCTCTCCGCCCCGCCCCGCCGGCTGAATGCACACGCGCGGCAAGAGCTGCGCGCGCGCATTCAGCCCGTCGCATAGAAAAGCATTTACAATGCTTTCCTATGGACGCTTGTGTGCTCTCACTGTGATTTTCACAGTGAGAATCACGCAAGCGCCTCTAGTGGCTGTCAATGAGACAGCCACTAGAGGATTAGGGGGAAGGCTTAACCCATTCATAATTAAAGCAGTTTCCCTGAAACTGCTATAATTATGAAAAAATGGGTTATCCCTAGCTGAACCTGGCACCCAGACCACTTCATTAAGCTGAAGTGGTCTGGGTGCCTAGAGTGGTCCTTTAACAGTATGCTGTTCCAGTTTGACTGCTAGGAGTGTAAACCTATTCGTATGGTTTTTCCTATTCGGCTGTTTACGGCATTCGTATGGTTTCCTGTTCGGTGGATTGGTGTTCTGCAGTAGCTGTGCCTGCATCTCTGGAAAGGGGGACAATCGCCTAAACGGTTTTTACCCCTTGTGTGCTGAAACGGTCCGTTACAGTATTAACATAAATCTCCCTTGACAGGTCATATAGAGATCACAGAAAGGTGGTCTCCAGAGATCACTTGAAAGGGGGGAAAAGCCTATATATGGCTGAAACAGTTGCTAATAAATACATGGCATTATATTAACTTGGAGAATATACCCAAAGTGGCCGTCCTGGTTAGACCAAGATTCGCTGCACCAGAGTTTATGATGTTTTGGCTGGGGCTCCCGCCATCCGCCACTCCGCCTGGGCTCTTCTTGGGGAAGCCCCGACCGCTCGGGGGGGGGGGCATTAGAATTGTTCCACAGGCCCCATTCTGTGAGTAACTCCATACCCTTGATTGGGTCATTCACCATTTGGGTTTTCCCCTGCCTCCAGATTAGCAGTTTGGTGGGGTAGCCCCATCTGTAGGACACATTATTGTTGCATAGTGTTTTAGTAATGGTGATGAATTCTTTGCGTCTCACCATTGTGGCTGCTGCCAAGTCCGCAAACAAAGCAATGTGTTGATGGGGGTCTGGAAGCGTGGGAGATTTTCTAGCTGCTGCCAGAAGCGTGTCTTTATGGGCAAAGTAATGGAATCTGACGATGACCTCGCTTGACAAGCAGCTTGGAAGCGGGAGTCTGTGCAACTGCTCTCACCTGAAGTTAGCCACACACACTTTTTTTTTTTTTAAATCTGGGGCCCAGAAAAAGTGATCCTACAAGTTGCCAGCAAGAGGCATGTGTCTTGGTTGGAATCATGCATGTTGCGGTTGCCTCCAAGCTAGCTGGAGGTTGGACCGCTGGGATACCCTGGTTCCCGATGTTGGAGAGTGAGAGCGCTGCTCCGAGCTGCATTCAGCAATAAATCCTGAAAGTGTAGAATAACCCCACTAGCTACGGTACAGCTAGGATAACACCCTTCCCTACAAAACAAGTCAAGGCTGCGATTTGAGGATAACACAAACTGGCTTGTCTGTGGTTCGTGAGCATGAATGAGGGGCTAGGTTCATTCATCTGTTATTTGTGTGAAACGTATCCAGGAATCAATACAAGTTAAAGGCAATAGTAGCAACAAAAGAGGGTATAAAACAGGGACAGGAAGGTTCTTTTGTAGGAGAGAGGGGCTTCCGTAACAATGCAAATTAAAGCTATGCTAAAACAACCATATTCATTGAAGTGTATTACCAGTGGAACAGGCTAGTTAGTATACACTTTAACTTCCAGAACATGCAACCAGTGGAGCAGAGTCCGCGGTGCAGGTTAGGCATCTACGAACAATAGCATGGGGGTGCCACAAAACCAATGCATCCTATGTACATTGACTGCTACTATCAAAGTTACTATTTGTTGTGTGAACCTGAGGGAAAAATATAAATCACAATTGAAGATATTTTATTTCTATATTAATCCAAATTGCATTCTACAATCACCTCACCTGTGTGAGTTCTCTGAAAAATGACATGCTCTGATTTACTGGCAAAACATTTCCCACATTTACTACATAAGAAAGGCTTCTGTGCTGTGTGAGTTCTCTGATGACGGACAAGCTTTGCATTTGTGATAAAACATTTTCCACATTCAGAAAACAAGAGCGGTTTCTCTCCTGTGTGAATTCTCTGATGACGGATGAGCTCTGCCTTTGTGATAAAACATTTTCCACATTCAGAACATGAGAACAGTTTCTCTCCTGTGTCAGTTCTCTGATGACTGACAAGATTTGAAAGTTGCCTAAAACCATTTTCCATATTCAGAACATGAGTACGGTGTAGCGTAGATGCAATATTCCCCAGGTTATCTCCGCTTATAATCCAAGTGAGGCTCAGGAACAAATAAATTGTAAATCCACAGGCAAGGTTTCCAGCAGGCAAAATAACACAGCAGTATCCCAACAGCAATCCCAATAACTGGACGACACACTGTTTCAGGAGCAGAACTGAAAGCTTTATTCCACACTGGACTTTTAAAGCATGCTCCCATGCAAGGGAGGGATTACATTCATTAATACAGTAGCCAATCCTGTCCTGGTAACCTCTCACACATCTCCTCCCCTCAGCCGGCATCATAATCCCCTTATCCAGTACAGCAATTCCCCCTGTTTCTGGATGTACCCTTAATGTAGGGGTACCCATTTAAATCATACATCCCCTAATAGCCCTGATCTGGGTGAACAAGTCGAGTGTCCGATTTGAGTTCCAGACACTCGACGGCAAAACACCGCTGTTCGTTTGTTGAATGGCGGCCACCCCCGAGAACAAAGGACGGCTACTTAACTTGTCAATTACACGTTTGCAACAATGTTGCAACGCGTAATTGAAGGCACACTTCACACAGGGGAGGTCTGACTGTTCGGTAGTTTCATACCCTTAGTTTATTCAAATGATTCTACCGAACAATCAGAGGAATACATTTCTTTTACACACATATAAAACCAGCAGTTTACACGAATGCAGCTTTTCACATGAAATTTGCAGGACAGCCCAGTGCCATCCGCTACATACGGTTTCTCTCATGTGTGAGTTCTCTGATGACAGACGAGCTCTGCATTTGTGACAAAACATTAATTACATTCAGAACATGAGAATGGTTTCTCTCCTGTGTGAGTTCTCTGATGAAGGGCAAGTTGTCCTTTCCCAGCAAAACATTTCCCACATTTACTACATAAGAAAGGCTTCTCTCCTGTGTGCGTTCTCTCATGTCTAACAAGATTTGAATGCTGCCCAAAACAATTTCCACATACAGAACATGAGAAAGGCTTCTCTCCTGTGTGAGTTCTCTGATGACTGACAAGACTTGAATAGCGCCCAAAACTTTTTCCACATTCAGAACATGAGAATGGTTTCTCTCCTGTGTGAGTTCTCTGATGGCGGACAAGATCTGCTTTTGCGATAAAACATTTTCCACATTCAGGACATGAGAATGGTTTCTCTCCTGTGTGAATTCTCTGATGACGGATGAGCGCTGCCTTTATTTCAAAACTTTTTCCACATTCAGAACACAAGAATGGTTTCTCTCCTGAGTGAGTTCTCTGATGATTGACAAGATTTGAAAGTTGCCTAAAACATTTTCCACATTCAGAACATGAGAACGGTTTCTCTCCTGTGTGAGTTCTCTGATGAAGGTTGAGCTCTGCCTTTGTGACAAAACTTTTTCCACATTCAGAACACGAGAATGGTTTCTCTCCTGAGTGAGTTCTCTGATGACAGACAAGAGTTGAATGTCGCCCAAAACATTTTCCACATTCAGAACATGAGAACGGTTTCTCTCCTGTGTGAGTGCTCTGATGAAGGCTGAGCTCTGCCTTTGTGACAAAACTTTTTCCACATTCAGAACACGAGAATGGTTTCTCTCCTGTGTGAGTTCTCTGATGACAGACAAGAGTTGAATGTTGCCCAAAACATTTTCCACATTCAGAACACGAGAACGGTTTCTCTCCTGTGTGTGTTCTCTGATGGCGGACAAGATCTGCTTTTGTGATAAAACATTTTCCACATTCAGAACATGGGAACGGTTTCTCTCCTGTGTGAGTTCTCTGATGGCGGACAAGCTCTACTTTTGTGATAAAACATTTTCCACATTCAGAACATGAGAACGGTTTTTCTCCTGTGTGAGTTCTCTGATGAAGGCTGAGCTCTGCATTTGTGAAAAAACATTTTCCACATTCAGAACATGAGAATGGTTTCTCTCCTGTGTGAGTTCTCTGATGACTGACAAGATAAGATTGTAGCCCAAAACATTTTCCACATTCAGAACATGAGAATGGTTTCTCTCCTGTGTGAGTTCTCTGATGATTGACAAGATGTGAAAGTTGCCTAAAACATTTTCCACATTCAGAACATGAGAACGGTTTCTCTCCTGTGTGAGTTCTCTGATGACTGACAAGATTTGAAAGTTGCCTAAAACATTTTCCACATTCAGAACATGAGAACGGTTTCTCTCCTGTGTGAGTTCTCTGATGACGGATGAGATCTGCTTTTGTGACAAAACTTTTTCCACATTCAGAACATGAGAATGGTTTCTCTCCTGTGTGAGTTCTCTGATGACAAACGAACATGGTTTTTGTGACATAACATTTCTCACATTCAGAACACGAGAAATGTTTGGGGTTTATGTTTACAATCTCCTTTGAGAACATACAGGAATCTGACAAAATACGTGGTTTTTCAGAGTTAGACTTGGTTCTGTTATTAATAGATTTCTTCATAGCCTTGCTTCATGTATTTCTGTTCTTGCCACCTCTCTTGACAAATACACCTGAAAGAAATATACAGGGCGTTAGAGGAAATTGCTATACTTAGAAAAACAGACAATATTTGTGTAATTTATAAGAGATATGACCATCAGGTGTCATAGTGATTGCGAAGAAATCAAGTATTTTGTGTGCTTTACCCATTCACTAGCAAAATTGTGTATACTCCTTTTTACTTTAATTTGCTTTTCAAAATTAGATTTAGCGCATAAAGCCTCACATATATGCATTTATGTTAGAGGAACAAATTACACATACTGTGTATATCACATACATTCTAATAACATATTTTAAACACATGCAGCACATAATTTCACTGTTATCCCCCCCCTCTATCTCTGCCACTGGAAGGCTGTGCCAAGTATCTACTACTCTTTTTCTATCACTCCTACCCTCTAGCACTTATACTATTGAAATTGTAGTAGATACCTGGTTTGACCTGCCCATGGAAATGTACTGGGATTAGAGTTGAGCAGACACCTGGATGTTCGGGTCCGGCAGAACTTTGAAAAAAAGTCAATGGGGACCCGAACTTTTGGGCACAAAAATGCCTATAAAAAAACTAATGGAAAGGGCTAGAAAGCTGCAAAAGGAAGTAAAATACGGGTAAGAATAGAACAAGTGCCCTGCAAACAAATGTGGATAGGGAAATCACTTCAAAATAACAAAATAAGCAGCCGCTTAGTAGATAACTCTTTAATTCCCACAGTATTAGGGAGCTATCTACCAAAAGGCTGAAAGACCTAAATTGGTCTTTCAGCCACATTTACTAATATTAAGTAAAGATTAGCTATACCGCGAGTAGGGGCATGTCTAGTAAACAGTGAGCAGCCACTGTTTACTTTTATTTATGGCCCCCACCCACTTCTCAGGGGTGGGGGCCAGGGGGAGGACAGTAGGTCCCCTCCTTATTGTTATTAAGGGCTCCACTCGATCAGGGGTGGGGGCCGGGGGGACAATAGGTTTTTGTTTTTTTTTAACAGTGAGCAACCACAGGCTGCTCACTGTTTAATAGACATGCGCCTACTCGCGGTATAGCGAGTAGGGGCATACATTTACTAATACTTAGTAACCAGCTCCTATAGAGGCTGGTTCAGATGCTGCACTGGCTAATCACAGCCATGCCATTAGTAGGCATGGCTGTGATGGCTTCTAAAGGCACACAAGTCAAACACTTTGTGACAAAACGTGTAACAAAAACACCCCAGTTAACCAGTATAATGGCTGCGTGTGTGTGTGTGTACTCAGACTATTTGTTGTTTTACCTTCTGACTATGGCCCTGGGATATATGGCATTTGAAAACACTATTTGTGCCCTGTGACAAAACTGGTGATTGTGCACAAATATTACTATTGTCCATATTGTTTATGATTCCCTTCGTTTGTTGCACTGTTCCCAATGTGTTGCATCTGTTGGTTCAGCTGGATAGACTACCAGACAAACTGTGGAGTTACTGGGTGGCCACCATTTCATGTATCAGAGGCACATGGTAAGAACAATGGATGAAGCACATGGCGAGAACAATGGATAGCGGCCATTTTAACTCACACACACTGTTTTGACTTTTCTACACGGTGCCATTGCGCCGGTATTTGGTGCACAAAGACACCGTTCAGTAGTTCTAAACTACAGAACTAGGGACACATTTAACAGTAATTATTTTTCATATAGCCTGTTTATGTTCTGTGAATTCTGCATTGAACCATATCTTCCAAACTACTGAACGGATCTGGGTGAAGTTTGGATATGTGGTTCACCCAGATCCCCCGGTTCCAAGGATATATTTATGGGGTTATTGCATGTTTTGAGGTCCCTGTGATATATTTTATAATCCTGTATTTTCCTGCCTGTGATAATTAAGTTAGTCTATTGTGTTGAGATAATTGTATCACAGGCAGAGGGGAGGATTTCTGATGTAATGAATGGGAGTGTTAGCTGTGTTGTAATGTGTTGATTGGCTGTTCTTCAAAACCCTGTGGGCATTACTATGTTTGCAGAATATGAATAAAAGAGGCTGTATGTGCCAGTACAGTCAGTTCTTCTTCACCCTTCAAAACATAGCTGTGTCTCGTTGAAAGGGAATTTGCAGCTTAATCACAAGTTGTTTACAGAGCTCTGCCTCTTTATTGCTACAGGGATCCAACGGATAGGACTTCACCTCTCCCCTACAACACAGCATCTTGCACCTACAGCAGATACCCCTTACTACCCTGGGTAGCCGTTACACTGTTGGCAGCGGCGGGATGGTCCTTTCATCCACAGAGCAAGCGCTGAATGGAGCATCAGTATGCCAAACTGAAAAGACCGACTGTAACGGATCACCTGGCACCCCGACTGGGTACCTCCGTTGAAGGATGCTCCTAGCGCTTCCTGAGGACTCCAAGCACTGCAGCAGACGCCATAACCACCGTAGACTCCTTCAAAGAGCAAAACAGAAACAAGCTCTTCCAAGAGCTTAGCGTTGAATATAGCAAGAGAGTATGCAGAACATAGCAATT